TGAATGGGTTCTACCAACACGAGTAATTTAGGCTCAGCAGCAGAGGTAGAAGTGAATTAGTGTTTTTAATGTGATCTGCCCCAATACCCTTGATTTACTTGACCTTGGTGGATATTACCATGTGGATACCCAGAATTCTACCCCAGGCCTGTGGTATATGTTCTCCAGAGTTGCTTTTTCTCTCCTCGTGAAAAAGGCCGCACGGTTAAAGGGGATGCCTTCTGTGCTCACAATTCTTGACTTCCTGTTTTACTTATTAAGTAAAAAGGTGTGTTAGTTAGCACACGAACCAATGCTAGACCTTCTTTAGTTACCACATTTCCCTGAATTCTGTTCACAATATGCTCCACCCATTTGAAGGTATCTTCTAGTCTCCAAAGTTCATGGTAGGATATTTATTTATTTATTTATTTATCTATTTTTTTAAATTTTTAATGTTTTTATTTATTTCTAGGAGAGAGAGAGAGACAGCGTGAGCAGGGAGGGTCAGAGAGAGTGGGAGTCACAGACTCTGAAACAGGCTCCAGGCTCTGGGCTGGCCGTCAGCACAGAGCCCGACGCGGGGCTCGAACCCACGAACCGCGAGATCATGACCTAAGCGAAAGTCAGACGCTTAACCGACTAAGCCACCCAGGCGCCCCCATGGTAGGATATTTAGAAGAAGGATGCAGGAATTTCTCAAAATCTGCCTCCTCCCCATTGGTATCTTTAAGCGTTCAGCATCCTGCCCACAACACAGGGTATCAGGCACCCTTCTCTCGTCCTCCGCCTACTCCTTTGCTGAGCACTCCAGCTCTCACCCTCTTGGCCAGTTGCTCCTTTGGATTTGGTCTTTTGTAAGGGATCGCTCTCCTGTGCAAATCTAGTGGCCTGGATCCCGGGCTGATTTCTCCCAGGAAGAACTCATTGCTTTTTCAGCTTTGGCCTTGTTTGCAGATCACCCTGACTCCACTCTGAAGAGCTCATCTCAACTCACAGCTTCCAGAAAGCTTCCTAGAGCCCCACTCCTGCTCCCTCAACTCAGCCCCAGGCTGGCCCCAGGCCGCCTGTTTCATTGCTTTTAATCCCACCACACGGGAAGCAAGTCTGGAGTGCGCTATTATCAAACCCTCTGAGCATCTTTTGATATTGCTAACTTCTGATGATTTCCTGTGAGTTCACCACCTTTCTGGATAGCCTCTGTTACAGGGGCAGAAAACACAGGTGGTGGTGGATTTGGTGTGTTTAAGAGATGTGTTCTAAATAGGCTCTGAGTTAGACATAACCAGGTGAATAAGCTTTGTTCCTTCTGGTGAATAACAAGGCAATTTTCATAGGTACATGGAAGGCTCCGGAAGGAAGTTCAAAGAAATCTCAGTAGTGTGAAGTCTGATTAAGATAATTTCTCCTTGGAAGCTTTACTCACTAGATGATTATCCAAAAAAACAAACAAACAAAAAAAAAAACCAACCAGTTTTACTTTATGCACATACTAGACTTAATATTTTTGCCATAGTCAGGAAGTGTGATTTTTCATCAGCCCTTCTAGATACCATCAGGAGAGCAGACCCCTGGTTCACATGTCACAGGTTTCGTTCTATTCCATTAAGAATTTATTATAAAACTGAATATTACATAACTGTATATTATGTAACTGAGTATTAAATGATCATTTCTTAGATTTACAAAAATCTGAGCCTAGGACAAAATCTTTTTGGATAAGAGCTGATGTTAAATTAATTATGCCATTATTTCCATTTTGGGATACAAAGATAAAACATAATATCTGCATTCAGCCTTCTTGCTGATGCGACAGAGTATGGTTTTCGAATGTTCTCCTGGAAGGTCTTTAAAAAACACGTTCACCAAGAGTGGATCTCACTTCAGAGTCTGAAATTTTGTTTAATGTTTTATTTATTTCTGAGAGAGAGAGGGAGAGAGAGAGAATGCGAGCAGGGGAGGGTCAGAGAGAGGGCGAGATACAGAATCTGAAATAGGCTCCAGGCTCTGAGATGTCAGCACAGAGCCCGACGCGGGGCTCGAACCCACAAACCAAGAGATCATGACCTGAGCTGAAGTCAGATGCTTAACTGACTGAGCCACCCAGGCGCCCCCAGAGTTTGAAATTTTTATAGCTCTTTTTTTTAAACCATATACAACAGTTATTGCTGCAATTATTTTTCCTGACGACTTCTAGACCTGTCCTGTATATCAATCGTTAGATGCCCTGACTACATTCTGTTTCACTCTGGATGTCTCTGTAAATGACATGGTTCTACATCCTCTTTTCTACTTCTCTAGGATCAAAGGTTATAAAATACTTTTGAAACAATTATTCCAGAGCTATATTCAAAATCTTCTTTAAGGGCTCCTGCTACTATGACAATCTGATTATCTGGCGGCTGCCTAAGGGAGCATTTGGGCTTGGTGACTAGGAAGCTCATCTAGGCACCTCTGCAGCTTAAACTGATGACTGGAGGATCTCGAATCTGTCCTGTCCTATGAAACTCCATTAACAGCACCCCGAGGACCCAGAGGGTGAGAACCAGCAGGAAGATGGATGGGGATGAAAAGAGCAGACCTTGCCCTTGGGAACCTCCACTCTAATTAGTTCAACAAGAAGCATTTATGAAGCATCTACTGTGTACAGAGTCCTGACTATGAACTATGAACAGACTCAAAGAAGCTCATTAGTGGAGCCTACTAAATATCAGTGAAGTGCCCAAACTCAGAGATGAGACCAAAAAAAAAAAAAAATCTTCAGGCAGAATATGCAAAAAAGATCCTGATACAGTAAGGGTGATAATGGAGGCGGAAGTAGAGTGGGATGGGGGTCAGCCTTGTAACACAGTCACATATGAGTAAGATAACGTCCTGGGTAATAAATGTTCACTCATCAGGGGCTTAGTTCTCACTCTCAAGCTTACAAACCTCTTGGTCGCTTTACATAAAACAACAACAAAAAAGAAGGAGAACCAGTTAGTATAACAGGAAGGTGGCGGAATGCTGGGCAGCAGGATGTAGGGGTAGGGGTCCCACAGCAGGCCACCTGCGGGCAGGGAGGGAGCCAGTTCCGAATAGTGATTCACACCTGCTTGCCTGTGAATAATCTGAACACTCTCTGAAACCTCCCTTCTGTGTGTCCCAACCCCCCCCCCCCAACTCTGATCTGAGAGAGGAAGTGATTCAGCACAGCCTGAATCTATTCTGGGATCTAAGAGATACAGAAGTGCGGCGAAACTTCCATTTTTATCACTAATTACTTTAACAGGTACTTTAATAAGTGCTTGCCAATTGCCCCTGCTGTTTTGTAAAATTATCTACACTGCATTTTACATTTTTAATCAAGCTTTATTTTCGAGAAGTCTCCTGGATTGCTGAAGCTTTGGCTTTTTACATGTAGGGGGACAAACTTTCCCTCTGACTTCATGGAACTAAAGAAATTATAGGGGGTGGGGAACCTGGCCTGCTATTTTTACCAGACCTATTAGAAATTATGGTGATGGCCACTGGAGTCGAAAACACTATTCATTAAGAAGAAGTGAATCACCTCCTGCCCTGCGAGGTACGAAGGCTCTGTAAGAAGTCTCTGCCCTGAATCTCTATCTCATGGATCCTCAAGCTAAATGTGGATAAAGTTACTATCTTAACTTTTAGGGATAAGGAAATCCATGTAACCAAATCTAAGGAAGGGATCCAAAGTCAAAAGTTTATATTCAGTAAGAGATAGAGCCAGGATTCTTTCTCAGATATAAGTCCTTCCAAGTCTGGATTTCTACCGCATTCTGCTTGCTTCTCACCTGAAGGGAGGGAACTGGTCTCTTTTGCAAGGTGAGTTGTTTATCTCTGCCTAAGTGGTCAGCCCATAATTTGGGTCACTCTAGTCAGTAGCTGTAGACATTTACCGAGCTGTGTTTAGCATCAGGTATGTGTTTCACATACATTTTTCTTTGAAATGCTCATCATAACCCACAGTAAGGATATTATTATTCCCATTTCACAAGTGAATAAATTGAGGTACACAAGCTAAAAATCTTGTCTAGTGTCACATAAATAGTATCCCAGGTAGTATGAGTACAGAGTTCGTTCTCTTAATTTCTGTAATTGGAACTGGTTTATGATAGTTTGTTATACAAAATTTACAAAAATAACAATACAAATTAATTAGACAGCTAAACAAGCCACGTAAGATTAAAAAAAGAAGAACCTCAAAGTATAATGCAATATCTCCACATACTACACTCAAACATCATTCATTCATTTATTAAAAACATACCTTTATTATTATTATTTCATTATTATTATTATTGCTAATTTTATTGGTACTGGTGATATTGTTATTTCCTCCTTAGAACTCCACATTCTTTCTGGGAAAACACAATTTTGTATATAAATTTGGATCTAACTGAAAATAAAATTAACAAGAAAAACAGCAAACATTTACAGACTACATGCCAGGTGCTGTGCTACGTGCCTCTAATTATTTTTTTCTTATTTAATCCTCATAATCACCTAATGAGGTACAAACTATTATAACTTTGATTTTTCAAATGAGAAAATTTCAAGAACAAGGGCAGGTGAGGCACTGTTCAGTCAGGGATTTGAACCTGGCCTCAGATGTCATGCCTGCCTTTGGTAGGGTCCCCTCCCTAAGGAAAAACCAAACCAAACCAAACCTCAAGGCTGCCTGGCTATACACATACCTGACAACATCCCTCACGATCTTGTAACATGAGGCCACTTAATCAGACTGCATGTTTGTGGGTTACCATATATGGCAGAGAAACAAGTAAAAATTGTGTAAGAAACTACGCCGTGTGGTGTTCAGGGCTCAGTTTTTAGGGTACGAACCCAAGTGAGCTGTGCCGGCATGAATAAAATTACTTCCTGGAAAGAAAAGCCTCGCTGTCACGACTCTGTGTGTGAGAATCCTGCCACATGGCCTCTTATGACGCCACATTCTCTGCCACTGTGAGGTCTTACCCAGGGTGCAGTGATGAACAAACACAGTCCCCGCCACCAAGGCGCATGGAGGAACACAAGCCATTGGGCACCCTCAATGTCATGTGCCATGTGAACCTCAGCAGGGGGCTCCAGGGAGCCTTTCCTGAGAAAAATAGCTAATTTGAGATTGTAAGAACAAGAAATGATGACTCAGGTGAAGGAGCCAAGAAAGGAAGAAAGAAAGAAAGGCCTTCTGTAAAGGTCAAAGGTCCAGAGATGAAAGAGACATTGATACCTTTTTGCAAACACTTGAGCAAGACCCTGGAGAAGAACCCGGCAGGGGAAAAGGTGAGAGAGATGTCTCCGCAGTAAGGGACCTACGGCAGTTACACGGTGAGTAGTCAGGGCTCGGACTTGAACTCATCACTTTCCCCAAAGCACAAGCTTTCTCCTTTATCCCTTTGCCAGCCCCCACATTCCTAATACTAAATTCAGCTGTGGGCCTCCATTACCCTTATCTATGTAAACAAGCAAGGCGAGGTCTGTAAGAAGGAACTGAAAGGGTCCCCGGGAGAAAATGCAGATGCAGAGGAGACATCCACAGCTTCTGGGCCTTTGAGGGGTGCTTCTTCCTTGCAGGGAAGGCAGGGGGTTCAACCTAGGATGCTTCCTTAACTGCCGCGTGCTAACACTGTGCGAATTGCTGCTAGCGCTCCAGAGATCTCTAATTGCTAATCCTGAAGATACAGAGCGACTCCCTCGGTGAACCAGAGGGGTTCGTGCGTTTTCCAGGCTGTTGGCAAGAAATCATACCTTGGCCCTGTTCTATTCTTGCAAGTACAACACGGAGACATCAACATAATCAGTGCTTAGCACTAGCAGATAAACTCCAAGGAAGGGGAAGGTCTTGTCAGTGTTCTGGAAATAAACAAACCAAAAACCCCCCCCAAACAATAAAACAAAAACAACAAAAAACAACATCCCCCCAACCCCCCCCCAAAATAGGAGAATTATTTCTAAGATGTGTGCCTCCTTACATTATTAAAAGAAAGCTGAGAACAAATAAAATTCAGAGTTTCGGAGATGATATAAGTGCTAGGGCCTTAACAGAATACAGGATTCACCCTCATGCCGCTTCCCGGCATGGAGGCTGTGGAAAGAGCTAAATCAGATGGCCAGGAAAGTGACTTTTGTGCTCTGCACTCATCTGCATTTTATAGGCCAGTGTCCTTGTTCTAATAGGACAAGTTCCTGGAGCCCCATTCATTTATATTTGCGAAGATGTATTACGTAAACTCAATTTCTGGCTGAATGTTCAAGGAGGGCCCACAGTCTCACCGCCCCTGATAGTTGATACTAACTTGCACGTTATCAGGGTTTCAGACTTATTACTTCAGTTTGCTTTATAGGCTTTGTTGCCACAGATCCACATCAGGGTTTCCCTGTGGCTTTCTCCCCACAGCAGTTTTTTAAATCCACTGTTACTTTACCCCATGGTAAGAAATGCCTCATGGCATTATAAACAAGCGGTTAAAAATTGTTATTTATGTGGCTTCCTAATAGCAATTTGAAATATAGGGCATAAAATTACTAACTTACAATACTGTTCAATATTAACAGTGGGAAAGGTAATATGTAAAACAGATATTAAAGGATTAGCTGTAAAATACATTCCACTAAGCTAAATCATTTCTTGGCAAATGGCAGCTTCCAGCTATTACGTAGGATTTATCAAGTCAAGTGGATTTATTTTTATTTTTCTATTAGTTTGCTAAATATATTCTATATTTAAATTTCAATCTTGTGTGTGTGTGTTTTTGTTTTGTTTTGTTTTGTTTTGTTTTTTGCCCAGGCATATTAAGAGAGGCTGTTGAAAACAGAATATGAAATATAAGTGATGCCAGACTTTCAAGTCAAAATCGCTCCTTGGTTTCTGCAGCAAATCCTCCAGCAAATCGACTAAAGATTCAAATGTAACATCCAAGCAAAAGTAAATGGATATGATGTTACAAACATTTGTATGACAGATTAGACAGTTACAACTGCATCAGAGAAGAGAGTAAAAAGACATGTTCTCCATTAAACCTGTTTTTCTTTTTTTGCTTCACACGACACTTTGTTCTAAGCAAGCATGTTCAGTAAACGTTTATGAATTTGTGAACCAGGCACAGAGGAAGAAGGTGGAAAGAGAAATTCCTAGTCTCCCAGGGTGGAAATTGTGAAGTCTTAAATGGATATTCAATGCATAAATACAAATAACATAATCTCTCTATTTTCTTCTGACACAGTCACCAGTTACCATAATCCTAAAATTATCCCATCTTCGCAAATCCCTCAAGATTTATTAATTTTCATAAACTGCTTTGATGGAAACTTTCTTAGAAGATGCAAAGTAACCTTTCTCGAGCTCTCCTTTTATTTCAGATCATGGACAGGGTTTTCAACGTCAGAGAATACCAAAGGTGCATTCTTATTTTTCAAAGGAATTGGTTATGAATCTATAAATAACCATTACAAAGAAATGAGCATCATGGAGCACAGAAATTCCTCTTACACTCATTTGAGAAATGATGAGAGAATCCAGATTCCCAAGAAGTAATTATTATTGTAAAATTAAGGGCCCGCTTTGAACACTTGCTAATAATCAGCTGGTTTTAAAGTTAAAACGTTTCCCCTGAGACTGTGAGTTGCAGACTACAAAGATTTCTTCTCAAATGTCCCTGTTAATAATTCTAAGGGCCTCAAAACATTTATTAAATATAAACCTTTACTTTTTTGTTCAGCTGCTTTATGTGGGATGGTAAATTTCTTTTCATAAATACTTTTCTATTGATCGAAAACTAATGGAATAAGATGCCCTCCAACTTGAGTACATAAAAATATAGTCAGAGTGTAAAATGTGAGTCACTTATTCAGAAAGCCGATGGTTGGTTCCCGGAAGATGTCATCTTACCCAGCAAGTCACCGAGCTAGGCTAGGATGGAGTCCGAGTCTGCAAGCTGTGGCCATGTTCATCATATTACCCCAACACCTCAGTCAACCGGAATCCAATGAACCCTAACCCTTGATGAGCTGACTTACTTATTATTATCTTTTTGGCTGACATATTTAAAACAAAGATGATCAACAGCTAGAAAACTATCTTTTAAACATGGAGGATAAATCCTGGGTTCGGGTTTACAAATTAGCTCCCTTCTCCATTTGCTACATCCATAACCAGGGAGACAAGGGTGGCACATGGCCAAGGAGTTATCCCGCTTGGGTTCAGATTCTGGCTTTGTGTAATTTAAGGCAAGTTGCTATATCCTTTGAGCCTTACTTGCCTTTGTGGATAATAATAACAATATTAACTCATAGGACCTCCCTGAAGCTCTGATAGTCCAGAGAAGGAACTCCGGAATTACAATGTTGTGGTAATAATTCAATTCACCAAGGGGTCTGGGACATATGAAATGCTCAACAAATGCTAGCTATTTTCATAACCAGTCACAAAACCTGTGCAATGCATGGGGCCATTTGTAAAAAAAAAAAAAAAGATACTAAGAATTTCAAAGTGTTGACAGAATAGGATTACATCAAGCATAGGGCCCTTCTAGTCCCTGGTGTGAACATCAGGTTTGCACCCAGGAAGCCCACACTGGCTCTTACCTTATCTGGTTTTCACTAGACTCGGAAAGATACTCCCAGACCAAACAAAGATCTGGGTATGTTCCCTTTGCTAAGCTTGCTGAGGTAAGAGTAGACTTGAATTTTAACATACTTTTCAATGACACAATAGTATGATTCTCACCCCCCTCCTGCATCTATCTGTAATTGGTGATAGTGTCAAACGTGCTTCTTCTGACAGTATATACCAAAAAGAAGTCCTGAGACAGCTTCCTAATACCATTTCCAGTGAAAGATCACCCTTTTGGTAGCATGTCGGTGATGATACTTTGCAACACAAGACCCCAAACCTCAGAAAATGTCAAGAGCAGGGTGTCCAGTTGAGGTAGAAAAAATACACATAGCAGGGGAGAGGGAAGTCAATATTTCCTGGAAAGCCGATTTTGCAATTCTGAGTTAGGTGCTTTATAATCAGAATATTAGGAGTGGCTTGTTCCAAGTTACCCCTGTTTCTAGTTATTTCCTTTCTCAGGAGGATTGCCCGTATCCTGGAAAACGCTCCTGCCTGGACAGCAAACATGGGAGGGACCCCTCACTGAGACATCAAGATGGCTCCAGGTGAAGGTGAGCTGCGCTGTGTCTTAGATGCATATTCTCATTTCTGTGCCTACTCACCAGACTTTCCTGTCCCACTATTTTGTAATGTTTATTTCTTAATTTTTGAAAGAGAGAGACAGAGACAGACAGACAGACATAGAATCTGAAGCAGACTCCAGGCTCTGGGCTGTCAGCACAGAGCCCGAAGCGGGGCTCGAACTTGTGAACTACAGAATCATGGCCTGAGCCCAAGGTGAACATTTAACAGACTGAGCCCCCTAGGCATCCTCTTTCTTGCCCCACTCTAGCAACCTCCCTGTGACATAACACTCCTAATCCCGACGTTCACTTATACTTGTCCTGTTGCAACTCATGTTCCCTAACATGACACAGAACCGAGGAGCAATTCATAGTAAACACCCTAGGCAAAGAAAGAAGTTATATAACAAGGCAACTAATGACTTCAGAATTCTACCCATAGAACCTTTCCTGATAACTCTGAGAACAGACAGTTTCCTTTGCCACTGCACCATCCAGACATGGCCTCCCAAAGATACACATAAGACAGAACATCCAGTTTCTCCTATTCCCCTCCCTAAACTGCAATGTGTAGCTATAATTGCTAACTACAAAAACAGCTATTATACCAGCTATACAAAAACACCACATTATACCATGTGGTGCCAGTACCACACATCTCTCAGTATGAAAATCCTTTAGCCATCTCCAATTCATCTCAGCCTGGATGAAGACAGACTGTGTCATGTGCCACCAAAGAAATCAGGAAGCCTGCTGCTGGTCAATGGAGTAATTGTGAGACTCTTAAATTCCTTTTTCACATTTACTTCTTGAATCTGCCACTAGACCCTAGAATCATCTGAAAGAATTAGGCAGCTCTCAATACGATCTCATTATTGACATTTATGTTGATTGATGTTGGCTCTTAGAGAATTGGAATCTGCAGATCAATTTCCTTATTAGATTCTTTCTCACTCCTGCCATAATCATTTTATCACATAGGCTGCTGCTATCAGATGCTGCTTTGTCACTATGTAATGGGACAAGCTAAACCAGTTCCTCTAGTCTGTTATAAGAAACAGAAAATTCTCCTAGTTTTAAAATCTGATGTTCCTCAAATTTTAAGAACTTCCCTGATAATTACACTTGAATGTCCTCTTGTTAAAAACTATGCCTCATGGAGGAACCAATAATAACTTTTTTGAAAAATTTTTTACCGTTTATTCTTTTTTGAGAGAAAGAGAGAGAGAGACAGAGCCTGAGCAGGAGAGGGGGAGAGAGAGGGAGACACAGATTCGGGAGCAGGCTCCGGGCTCTGAGCTGTCAGCACACAGCCTGAAGTGGGGCTTGAATCCATGGACTACGAGATCATGACCTGAGATGAAGTCAGTTGCTTAACCAACTGAGCCACCCAGGTGTCAATGAACCAGTGAAAACCTTAAGGTAAATGTATACAATACTTCTTAGAACCATTTCTCCTGTCCTCTCAGAGACTGCCCCATGTCAAAGCATAAACCAGGTGTCATCCACAGGGTGACTTTCACCAGCTAGGTAGAGCAGGTGATAATGTCATTCTCTGGTAGGCTTCCCAAACCTGGTCAGATTGTTTCATATAAAAGGGGAGAAACAAACCCTCCAAGGTGCTTCTAGCCCCACAAGTCGTCATCAGTTCTAAGAGAGCTAAGAAAAAAACAAAACAAACAAATAAAACCCAGAGTGGCTGCTGTCAGTGGATGCATCCCTACTCTAGAAAGATCAACTCATTGGTACATGCGGAAATATCAGGGGGGAAATCAAGTATGAAGCACAGTCATCTAAATATTTTCTTAAGTCTAATATTAAACACTGCATGGAAGGAATAAATAATCATCCTTGTATCTACACAGACCTGCAATTCCTAGGAAATAAACAGACTCTCAGGGTTCCTTAATATGAGAGCTAAGAGGTCCGTGAGTAGGATTCAGAGCCTTTGAGAACTCACAAGAAAAAAATGCATCTTCAGTTTCACCAAACTTGAACTAAAATTTGGCACTTCTTTCAGTTATGAATGTAGGCATCAAACTACAGTGGCATCAATTGGTAACTCACTAAAAGAGATCACAGACATCTTCATGTCAAATTGCACTTGTGGAAAATATCTCTAAGTATTGTATATTGGAACTATTACATAGGAACTAAGAACTGCCATTGAGCTTGTTATTTCATGCTTTAGGAATGAAGCTCGTCTTTTATATTTTTCAACATTTTAGTAATGGCACCTCAGTGTGATTTGTTTCCTTTTACAATCCCATGTCTTTGTGCACATAAAAGCATTATTCTGAGAAGGGGACCAGAGGCTTCTCTGGTCTAAAACAATGGGCCATGGCTAAAACATGGGTATAAACTCCAATTATGTCACAACTCCCGAACCCTACATCTCATGCAGTGTGTGACATGCAGACCTTCTGTCATGCTCAGACTTTGCAGAGTCATGGGCGGATCCCAGCTGTCCTGAGTCCTGATGGTCACCTCCAGCACCTGGAAGCGCTGGCTCTGATTGGGCAAGGAACTGACATTCATTTGAATCTACACGAAAATAAATGAGCTTTCGTTTCATTGCCAAGCTGAGCTCTACAGCTACGATCGTTATGTATTGTTGCAATCTAGGCCTTAATGGCATTTTAGCCCTGTGGTGGGTTCACAGAGAAACTATTTTCAAACTTCAAAAGGCCATTACAACATGTGCAGATGTCTGGAAAATTAATACTATTATCTAAGTCTCACCCTTTGCCTGTAGGAGGCAAGGAAGAGACAAGGCTCAATAAAGATATGAGAGATCAATACGTGGCCATAAAGCAAAGTGCTGTCTTTCCAGCGAGTGCAG